AGCTCGCCTGTCTAGTAAAGTTGTACCCAACGATACTTCGGTTAAAAAAAGGAATTCACAGTACCAGTAAATGCAATATTACAAAAAAAACTTGCCTGAAGTGCTTAAGCAGAATATTCTGGTTATTCGCAATTCACGAGCAAGCTCGTGAACTGCGAGGCTCTACAGTAATTCTTGGCCAGGATTCGGGTCGTCCAATCAAAGAACATCAACGCGCGTCGTGCGTACAGCCACTTCCGGTTGAGCTGCACGACGTCGTGCATGTAGCATTACTCTACATAAAAAGGGTGTCCTCAGGCCATAAGCGGGAGTTCACTCTGAGCATGCGCAACGTTCAGAGAGCTCCGATGTGGCGTCCAGTGAATACCACCTATTACAATAAAGGTTTCAACTCGACCGGGGTAATTTCGAAGTAAATTCGTTTATCAGAAGCTCAAATTATTTAGGAAATATCAGTCCTGAAAAAATGGCATTAAGTTAGTACGCAAAACGCCCGGAGCATCCGCGGCACGCACACGAGTATTACCACGACGATGATTGATTACTGGTTCAGCGCGGATAAGTTTACTGGTCGACTCAAAAATATCGCACGATAATGCGTTACTATTCCTAAGATGCAAAAGCTTGCACTATTTCTCTGCATCAAGCAGGCGCCACCCTTATTTCACCGCATATTTAGCAAGCTGCCAAGATCGCTCACACGGTCGAGTAGCAGAGGAACGCAGTGCTCCATTATGCTCTCAGACGCATTTAAAAAAAGAAAGTTAAAAACGAGCTCCGTTTCTCAAACGCTGTATTGAGAACATATTACGCTTTCGACCTTATGAAAATACTTCGTTCCTTAAAACATAACTGACCAATGTTCACGCCTTCTAATCCAATCTTCCCTCATCCTCCAATTGCCCTTCCCCCTCCCCGATCAAGCGCTAAACTTTGAACCATGTGAGGTTGAACTTGGTGGCGAAACAAGTTTAATGCGACGCGCTGAAGCACGCATGTTGACAGCGGCTTGGCATAATAATGCGGGAGTACTGCGAAAACTGTGCCCTCCTAGTGCCCAACTACTAAGTAGGAATAATGAATGCTTGGAGTTGGGCTAGTTGGTTTAACATTGATGGGATGCTGCGCTGCGTAGTTACGCGGAAAAAAACTGGAGAAATGAAGTTAATGCAAAAGGACAGACAAAAACATGCATGGATCGGCGCAGACTAACAACTGTTTAATTTCTTTCTCTTTTTTCTCCCCCGACCCGTATTTCCAAAATTGCGGCTAAGAAAACGAATGGTTGATGTATTGAATTTGTTGGCTTCTGAACTTGATGGTGTTTGCTGTAGCTGTCTCTTTGATATACGAACTGGATGGTGTGTTTTTTGTAGCGTTTACCTGGGGCCTGATGTTTGCTCCGACAAGTTTGGTATCTTATTGAGTAGATCTATTTCTTCTTGTCGCAAAGCTAGTGATGGCTCACTGACGCACGCTCCGTGTCTACCCGAGGCCATGTGAAAATCCTCGATTATTTCACGCTTTGTTCTGTCCTTTGATCTGGCCAAGATGGAAGTAGTGTCAAGGAGAGCTTTGCAGTTGCATTTTGAACAATGCGCTGCAAGGTTGCCAGGTGCTCGCAGTTGTCCGCATGCATGGTTGTGCTCCCTTAGTCTCTCGTTAAGGTATCTTCCAGTCTGCCCGACGTAGGATCTTCCACACGACAGTGGTATTTTGGATACCACACCTTCGACACATTCAACAAATTTGCTCCTGTGTTTCACTTGGCACAGTGCCTTGCTGTTAGTCTCGTCCAGTTGACCTTCCTGCATAATCCTTTGAGCCTGAAAGGGGCAGATAGTGACACTCTGACTTCGTACCTTGCAGCGATGTTTTTTTATCCTGTGTGAAAAATTGTGTATATTGCCGCGCCCAGGGCTGAGAAAGCAACGCTCAGTCACGGACCTCCAGAAAGTTCTCGTTTATTCATGTACCGCATGTAACTTCTCTCATTTATTCCTGCTTTTGTTTTCTAGAAAGTGCGTGTTCCTTCTCGCCCGATCACGCGACGCTCGAGCCGCTTTCGCCGAATCTTCGAGATAGCGACGCACTCTAGATAAGAGGCCGCCCGCGACCTTGTCGAGTCAGT